GGTGACTTGGTTTTAAAGGCCCACTAACAGGTCTTATCAAGTTAAATGGTCCTTATGGTCACCGAGGGCACTTACTGTGCTCCTGTTCTCAGCATAACCCAGTGCCTTAAATAACCTTTGGTCCTTATTGGTTGCTTATTGGACCACTGCACATCCCCAGGCACTTCTGTAACATACTTACATAGAAAGGGAAATAGTCTATAGGACTTCATGGGGAAGGTATAGCCACAACAACGAACAAGAAAAACTGAACTGAATTCAAAAGACTCCTATTTTGGGGGAGGTGGGTGGGTACTGGGGATTGAACTCAGGGGCACCTAACTACTGAGCCATATTCCCAGCCCTTTTTTGGTATTTTAGTTATAGACAGAGTCTCACTGAGTTGCTTAGTGCTTCACTTTTGCTGAGGCTGACTTTGAACTTGCGATCCTCCCGCCTTAGCTTCCTGAGCCTCTGGGATCATAGGTGTGCACCACCACACCCGGCCCCAATTTTGTTTTATCCTCATTTCATCTCTATCTTTCCAACTCCAATGGCACAGTTTACCCGGTAAGGCCGCTTATACATGTTTCTTTGCTACTGTTGATAGACATTATGAACCACCTGAAATTACACACCAAGTCCTTTGGGTTATAAAACACATACAAATTTTCTCTATTTTTTTGGACTTTATGTCACACATTTGAATTTCCCATGGGGTGGTGATAAGCGAAGGGTGTGTTGTTTATTTAAGAACATGCACCTGGACACCCACAGACTTATAATCAGCTGTCACCCACAGTTGTTCACAGTTCTATCTTCAGCAGACAGGGCTTGGGATCCAGTAGCAGCTCAATAAAGAGGGGCAAATTATGGCTACATCAGCATAATGTAATAGGAAAGGAACTTTTACAACAGAAATAGAAAAAAAAAGGCCAATTAAATTTGGGAAAGGGACAGGAAATGGTCATAAAGCTGGTTTTGGATGTTTAAAAACTAGGCTGGAAATTGTTTAGCAAGACGAGAGCATTATTTAAATTAAAGGCAAAGTCTGACTTTCCTGATCCGTTAAGAGTCCTGAGAAATGGCCTCCACTGAATAACCATCATTCGCATTTAGGAAAGAAACGTTTTGAAGAGGGTGTTGATTGAGTTAGCATGGCATCACGTTATGGAACACACGACTTCTTCCTTTAAAATGGCAATTTCCCTCTTTACAAAACACAGAGGGAGGGTGGGGTGGGGGAGAAGGGGGTACGCACACCGTCTTCCCTTACCGTCAGAGACAAGGCCATGCAGACGAACGTGAACTTCTTGATGTGGGCGGCAGTGACCGTGTTGCTTGTGCTCACCAGTTTATTGCTGGGGTTATTCTGGGGAAAGAGAACGGCAGTGGTGACTGGGCCCAGAGTTATCCTTGGCTGACCCCCCCAACCCCCAGGGATCTCAAAGAGCATCCTGTTCTCCTTGATGATCCTGAAGTGCCAATTTCAAGTGACAGCGTGGAAGATGGCTGTCACATTGGGTCTCCCAGACAGCTGTCATGTTCCCGCAACACTAACCAGAGCCAATGCTGGACTGATTCAGTCCTTTTCCCGTCGCGCTGGGCTGCTCACCTCACCCTGTTCAGAGTGGCTCTGAGCTGCCCCTCGCAGCCCAGCGATGCCTTTCTAAATGCCACAGCCCTGCTCAGTGATTCTGGGCTCCTCTCCTTCCTACCGAATGGACTGAGATTCCCTTGGGCACTCAAGGGCCTGCTCAGCACGATCCAAACTCACTTTCCCACTGTTTCTCCTCCTGCATCCCGAATGGGGCTCCCTGCTCTGGCCCCGCACACCAGCGCTTTTCTTCATCTACCTCCTGATTCGCAAACCGCCTCTCTTCAAGGCCATCATCTTCACAGCCCACCTCCCCAAAGCCTTTCTGACCTT